ATGTGTTTTCCGGTGGAATGAACCTATTGAAGAAACAGTTCTCCCAACACATTTGTTATTTATATTTCGAGGGTCAGAAAGCATTATCATCAAAGCAGAATCCATTTTTAGGTCAGTGAATATCTTATTTTACATTGGGTCGCATTTTCATTAAAAATTCATATGTATCCGTCCACTTTTTTTTTCTGTAACAATACCGTGACATATTTTTTCCACCCGAAACAGGAAAGTCATCATCAACTCACTGAAAAGATACCCTGATTGGATTTGCGAGGGGTTAACAAAGTGTGAAGAAGGTAGACATGGGTTACATCTCAGCATAAAGACCCTTTCGTAAAAACATAGGGAGGGCTTGACAGTAGTAAACTATTCATGAGTCGTGTCGCTGCTGAATCGTTTGTGAATTAAAATATAAGGAACAGAATATTTCGAACTCCATACCTGCGATATATCTATCATTTTTCTTTGAAAATGTCTTTCTCTATGGATACCACTGAAACCCATCATGTTACATTCCCTTATTTCATTCACAACACAACAGTGATGTGAATACAGAAACTTTCATGAAGCGAAAGTATGTATAACGGGAAGGATCAAATACTACAATAATATTAATTTTGATTCACCGCTGGATCAAAAACACCTTCAAGTTCTGGTGCAGGTGTACACAGTTGTAAACTCAGAACAGATATATCTACTTGATTAATGACATTTGTCTTGGATCTTCCAAGTAAAAATTCATTTCATTGATTCATGTGAAGAGTTTGGCAGGAACTGACCTCATATATACATTGGTGAAAATAATTTAAGGCAGCCAACCATTTTAGCAAGACTTTGATATCACAAACCTACAACAAATTGTCTATGATCTGGATTCCTGGCCCCAAACTCACCTTGACTGAGAAAGTGTCTTGTTTGCCAATAGCAACGGGTCTGTATCCTTCTGGTTGGTAGCTAAAGCTGGTTATCAAGGCTTCACAAAATCCACAACTCCACCACTAACACAATTGGATGATTCAATTCAATAACAGCCATAAAGAAAGCAAATCTACTAGCTGAATAATCTGCGTCCCACTCCACAGTCGATATCCTGGAAAAGCCACCCCACACTAGAATCCACGATGCCGTCTTGTCAGTTGAATTTCAAAATAGCTCATTATCAACAAAGCGCCTGGCTCTGATGAAGTTCACTACATTGTACTTAAATGTGAGCAAATGAACTCGCACCAGTATTTTGCAGACTGTTCAACCTGTCTTACAAGAAAGGGGTTTGTCCTTCTTGTTGGAAGATTGCTCGCGTTCAGCATATTCCCAAGAAGGGTAAGAAATATCTTTCAAATAACTATAGACCAGTCTCTTTGCTATCAGTGATATCGAAAATCATGAGGAAAGTCCTAAATCACTATATCCTCAAATATTTGTAAGACTTCAACGTCTTGAGCGCAATCGAGAAACATGGTGTACTCGATATTCATAAGGCCTTTGACCGGTATGTGGCATGAAGATTTGCTGGCCAAACTTTGATCCTATGGCTCATCGCATTATTTTTGTGTATGGCTCTTCAGCTTCCTGAATTCAGGTCAGACTTCCTGAGGTCAGACAATTCCGCTTTCTGCTTCGATGAGTTTGTTAGGAGTGAAATTGGACACCAATATATCTTGACACGGCCACAATCGTGTCACTGGAATTGCAAAGGCTGCTTCTCAAAATCTTGAAACACTGTTCTGAACCAAAAAACTGTACATACCTCAGCAACTTTTGATGCTTTATAAAGCTCAGATTTGACCTTTTCCACACATCGAAGAAAGGTTGGAGATTTGTTTCTCTTCTAGAAATACTTTCACAGGGGAGTGTTCAAGTGACTTGACACATTCGATTCCACCAAGAGCGGTACCTATCAGAAATACGCGACGGACTGTGGCTGATTATCGTTTTGAGGTTCCACTCAATACACTTCGAACTCAATTGTTCAAGAACTCTTCCATCTTGAGAACTGCGTTCATGTGGAATAAACTTCCTGAGAACGTTTTTCCAAATGGATTTATTAATCTCCAGCCATTCGAATCCAATGTGAATCACTACTTTCGCACAGGAACTGTTCTGAGAGCGCCTTAAGGATTCTCCTGTAGTGCTCGTGTTCTGTCCTCAAAAAAAAGTTATATTGGACCAGAACCTTCCGTTGGCATTGTTAAGGGCTTTACCAAACTATGAATATATGCACTGCAAAAATAGTAGTAGACAAAATCTACCAGCATTGTCCGTTCCAAGGCATGCAATGGACCGAAAATGATTTCCAGATGTCCCGGAAAACTTTGTCACCGATAGATATTCCTGTACCCAACCCCTCATATTCCTGTCACGCCTAACTAGACAGTATTATAAATCGATGTGTTTTCCGGTGGGATAAACCTATTGAAGAAACAGTTCTCCCAACACATTTGTAATTCCTATTTCGAGGGTGAAAATGTATTATCATCAAAGCAGAATCCATTTTTAGGTCAGTGAATATCTTATTTTACATTGGGTCGCATTTTCATTAAAAATTCATATGTATCCGTCCACTTTTTTTTTCTGTAACAATACCGTGACATATTTTTTCCACCCGAAACAGGAAAGTCATCATCAACTCACTGAAAAGATACCCTGATTGGATTTGCGAGGGGTTAACAAAGTGTGAAGAAGGTAGACATGGGTTACATCTCAGCATAAAGACCCTTTCGTAAAAACATAGGGAGGGCTTGACAGTAGTAAACTATTCATGAGTCGTGTCGCTGCTGAATCGTTTGTGAATTAAAATATAAGGAACAGAATATTTCGAACTCCATACTGTCAGCATTAGGAATGTTTATAAATACCATAAGGTGTAATAGAAACAATCACCTTCAACTTTATCACGTAAAAATGCTTGGAATGATTAAAGATGTAGCAGATGCAAATATACTTTGAGAAATATTCTCCTAACTGAATCAAAATGTTATTATGGTACCTGTGTAGGTAATTTCGATTTTCTTAGAGTCATTCGAACTAATGAGTCATATAATAAGATATTTTATTGTGCAATTGAGTAGATATGAAATAGACGGGAGATGTCCAAACAACTAATTCGAATTCAGTTAATGAACAATAATTCGGATAGTACATATTCAACCTGGGTGGAAAGCCAAACATTTCATCTATGCGATAGACAGGAAACTCAAATCGCACATGAAACTTCTACAATACCTCACTGAAAAATAGTTTCTTGTATCTCTCTGCAGCTTTCAATGCGTGTAGAAATCTAGCAAGATATCATAGCTCTAACCAAATTCTTTTGATTTCATCAATAAAGTCTCCTGAGTCCTTCACTTTAGTTTCAGTAAGACTTAGTTGATGTAGAAGTGTAACGAGGTACTTTTTTTGCGCATAATTTGGGGTACAGAGCCATGTACGATCGGCCTGAGTAACACTGATGTTTTTTGGATTTTCTGTAAGTAGTCTGTAGACTTGGTGATAATGCCCCCCATTCCGAAACGATTCTCTGAATGTCGGTTGTTATCTAGGAAACCTTGTTGAGGTGGTTGGCAACACTGAATTGTGATTTCGTTAGATCGCATGGCATCTTCTGTATATACTGTTGGTTCCTCCAGTTCGATTATTTTTCTATCAAGTTCTGCAGAGTTTCAGAACCCTTATCTACAGATGGGATCAAAAAGCAGACAAGAGCAATGCTACTGTAGTAATGGACTCTACAGAATATGACCGAAAAATTACTGGAAAAACGAAATGAACATTGTATAGGAAGCTGTTCTGAGATCCTGCACTCCGGAATGTCAACTTTCCGTTCCTTCTTCAAGTCAAAATCAGTAGGGCTTACTGAAAATTCAGGGTTCAGCAAAAGGCCCGCATAGAAGCCGCAGAGATTACTTCATTCAAGGATAAGCCAATGTCTGAGGTCTACTGAAACAAAATTGATGACTTCGTTTCATTGGTGTATCTGACCTTCGCTTTTCTCAGGTATGGTGTTTGCAACAGTATGGTGTATGCAACACCATAGTCTTCCGCAGTCGCGTAGTGGCACCAGGTTCCGCGAGACGCCTCAAGCTCTGATGCAGAATTATTGATCCATGTTTCTACCATAGTTCTTGGAAAGGACCTCTTTACATTAATTCATTAACGAATGTGTTGGAAGGGTTTTTCGATGATCTTGATCTGGAGGCTTGTCAGATGATCTATTTCCAGCAGAAAGGAGCACCAGCACATAGTTTCACTGGCGTAAAAAGAATGTTGCGAGGCTGTTTTGGTAACAAATGGATTGCTACGAATAGCCCTGTTGAGTGACCTCCTAGTTCACCCGACATGATACCTCTAGATTTTTATCTTTTGGGGAATTCTGAAGAATGAAATGTACAAAATGGAATCTAGTAATGTAGATGAACTGAAAAATTAGATTGAAACTGTATATAATAGAATTGACGGCCTAATTGTGATGAAAACAACAGGTAGTGTCAAGAGAAAGGCCCAAATATGTGTTCAACGAGAAGGCGGTGTTTTTGAATATTCACTGGATATTTTATAGCTCTTTAATTGCCAGAACGAAGATATTTTTTGTTGTTGAGAATGTTATTACAAATCGAAATACATGATAAAATATAGGGTGTTTCATTTTATGAAATATTTTAAAACGCGACAATCAATTTTTTTGTTTTCGGTATCGAGAAGGCCATTGCAGGTTCTACTAGTTTGCCCATTCGAACGAATTCGTATCATCAATTAAAACGGAGTTGGCAATGATTTCGACCTAATTTGGAACACCCTGTATAGTCATCGATTTGTCAGAGCTGCTTTGTCTTAGTCTAAAAAAAATCTTCAGTGTAGACATGGTTAGGAACTATTTGTCATCCGTGTACTGCAGCTTCCTTACTCCGGTACCTGTAATTATTTTCAGGTGCCGGAATTTCTTTTATGCATATTAGAGTGACCTAATTTCACCAATAAAGCGGCTGTTCATTTTTTTGTTTCAGGTCGTCCACGGCCAAGGGTAATATGGTTCTTGGAAAATACCATAATTGATGATTCCTTCGATATCAGATCCGATGGGGCAACCGTCAACCACCTGTCATTCCCAAACGTCGGTAGACAACATTTGCACGCAAGACTGATCTGCCAAGCCAGCAACAATAATATCGTGGAACCTGAGACGAAAGTGGCTGTACTAGATATTAACTGTGAGTTTGAAACCGATATTGAACGTTTTTTGTTCGTGATCGTTTTCAACAACCAAATTTGTTCATCAATATACATAATGAATGTAAGATAAAAAGATATCTCGGAATGAATAAAAAAAAACTGAACCTAATTTCAAATATACAAGATGGTTTCATCATGTCAGAATAGATTTCGTTTAGAGTAGTTTTGACGGTTATTGTTGAAGATCCTGAATGTAATGTTTTTACCCAAATATTATATTTCTGGAATTATTTTTGATAAGATTGCGAGGAAAAGATGAAGTTTCATAGCATTGTATGCACCTGGCCGAATTGCCCAAGAACACTTCAACTCGTTGCTTTCTTCGTCATGTAAGCTCCATTCTTTCCAAAAAACGACAAAAGCAAGCCATGGATCTGGTCTACCCATATTCAAGATGCGAAAACGTTAGTTATAAGACATTGACATGTGTGGGGAAACCAAACAGGAATATTGCCCGTTTTTTGAAGAAAGAAAGCGTAAACGTAGCTTATAGAACGAATAATAACCTAAGTAAATTTATTAAAAACAATAAGGACAAAACTTTGGTGTCGGATAGATCAGGAGTATATAAGCTGACTTGTGACTCTCGTACAAAACTGTATATTGGCCAAACAGGAAGAACATTTTTCCAACGAATTAAAGAACATATGAGTAGTTTTGTAAATAGAAAGACCAATTCCACATTTGCAAATCATATTTTAGCAGAAGGACATGAGTTCAATCATGAGTACGAGGTGTTACATTTAGAAGAGAAGAGTTGGAAACTTAATCTTCTAGAATGCTTAGAAATCAATAGATTCAGGAATTCGGGTAATTTACTGAATGATCAATTAGAACTCAATAACTCTCCGTTACTGAATATATTTTTTCAAATGTGAAAATGGAACATAAGTGCAGGTAATTTAATTCGTTAGAAACTCAGGTAAAATATTAGCTACTTAAAATTCAGGTACTTCGTTTACAGGTACTTTGATTTCAGGTACTCCATAAACTATATATATATATTTAGTATTGAATGTGTAGAATTAATTGAAAGACACGCCAGATGAAGCCATTGTATGGCGAAACACGTGTTGCGTTTTTGTAAAACAATTTATTGAAAATCTCACAATAAAGTGTTTTTGGAATACGTTCCTTCGTCATCATCATGTTTCTATAAATTGATCTTTTCACCTGAGTGGGCATACTTGAAAAGACAGGTTTTACATCAAATTATCTAAAGCAAGGTTTCTCAAACTCATCGTCCAATGTACCCCTATTAGATCTTCGAAACCACTGCAAAGCGCTTCAAAAAATACTGACTCTCGATAGGCATGTATTGAAAATTAATACAAAAAACAGTAGATACGCATGCTCAGCCTTGAGTAATAGAACAAAAAACGCAATAGGACTCGACGTAGTTTGTACATTTCGTGGAATGGTGGAAAAATATTTGATTTACAGCATATTTCTCGTGTAAAGAACCAGTTTTCAACCATTGAATCATATTTGAATCGTATTTTGGTTTATGCCCCTTTGATAACTTCACGTCAGCGACGAACTTTTTTTTGCTTTGAGAACTAGCATGCCCGACTCAATAACTCAATGGCATACTCCCAGAGGTACGCGTATCCCACTTTGAGAAACCCCGATCTGAAAGAATAATTTGTCTTCCCTTACCTACACAGTAGATTTATGGACTGACACCTATTGGAACAGGCACACTTGTAAATCGATTTTAAGCAATTTGGTTGCTTGTCAGTGCAAGCGGTGTCCTACATCATCCCAAAGTCGATGATTTCCTATAATTGGAAATCAAATCCTTTCAGAGTATCATACCTCGAACAAAGCTGAAACGAATGACAAGCAACGTATCTGCCATCGCCCCCTCTGCCTGTAGACGGGGTACTAACCAATTGCTCATCCATATAGCCCAATTCCCCATATGAGGAAATGAATTCCACCTATAGTGAGTAGCCTGAACGAATTCTTCTTTCAGATGATTTGATTCAAAGCCAGTCTTCAAGTATGCCCACTCACTATAGGTGAGGAGGCGATTGGAGAAACATTGCCTGTCGTTCGCTCCAGCTTTGTTCGAAGTATGATACTCTGAAAAGTTTTGATTCACTATCAAAGGAAATCATCGGCTTCCTGTTGATATTGGACTCTACCTTGCACTGACGAGAGGCCAAATAGCCCGAAGCCGGTCTGCAATGAAAATCGATTCTGGCAGTGGTATCGCCAAAAGCATATGCAAAAATTACTTCTTTGACGAATCCTGCACTGACACCTGTTATCACCTCACAAACCATAATAGGAGACAAAATCATCTGTCGGTAACAAATAAGACAGATGGGTATCCGCGGCTAAGCTAAACAGTGGAGACGGGAGTGGGTTAACCAACTTAGCAATTTTCAAATAGATCTTAATGGGCGCCAGGTAAATTTAATCCTCCAGATACCCTAAGTAACTTACAATATCAATAACTTACCAATTAATATTGTAAATGAAAGATAAAGATCCCCAATATGATTTATTCAGTAATCCTAACTTACATGGATTAACCGACAACGCTTCTAAGACAACAATGCGATATTCACACTACTACGCGATGTTCAAATGCCAATACAAGCGCTCGGTGGATATAACCACAAATTCAATCAGCCATAAATTTAGGTAGTAACGACTCTTAAAAGAAACTACAATACGTCAAGTGAAAGTACCACGAAAATTGAGTAGGTGTGGGCGAAATCGTAAATACTAGTATTGGAAGGTGAGACAATCTCGTTTGCGTTGCGTGAGCTCAGGCGTAGGCGCATCGGTGTCAACAAACGATTGTAAAAGGGAGAAAACACCTCAATTTGCGTTTTACAAATGAAACCAAACACGTTGTCTACTAGCGGCGAATTCAGCCAGAAAGGCAATCACTATATCACACAGGTAACAATAAACAAAAGGGCGAACAATTGCTTAAACAGGTAACAATAATCAAAAGGGCAAACAATTATTTAAATAACTCAGTATTACACAAATATTCAAATAAATCAATTATAACTTGCGTGCTCCTTTTGGGCCACCCGGTATATGGGGTTAGGCTACCCCGTAGTTCGACAGAGGTGGATCACCCTGTAGTACGGCGGAGATGGATCACGCTGTAGCACCGTAAAGATAGATCACCCTGTAGCACCACCAAGATAGATCACCCTGTAGGGCACAACAAGATGAACCTGTAATGGATCACCAAATAGGATATCAAAAAAAACCCTACGAAAGGAAATTCTCAATCAGAATCAGATAAAACCAAAGTGAGATTCGAGCCCATTCAATAGGGACTAGTTGACTAATTGAATGAGTGCTGAAACCTCTCTTCAAAACTAATATTAAGTTGAATTACAACAATGGGATCAAAAATTACTAAAAGCACATCTAATGGTATAATTCTTACCCTGGCCAAGGGGTTTTCTATACGTTTCTTCCTGTGCGGTGCTCCGCACGGAAGTCCTACTGGGACTTGATGAGTGACTGAGGGCCTTCTGTTTCTTATGAATCTAGGAACGAGAAACGAAGGTTGTAGAATTGAAGAGATGATATCACAGATAAGACCACATGAGAGATGCGATAGTGATTCAGACATACTTGATTTCGGAAATCCTTCTACCTGGCACAATGAGTTCGGTAACCACCAAAAATCCTCAAAAGAGTTCAAGTTTCAGACTGCAAATATCCACACCAAAATGACCAATCAGTCTTCCACTATACAATCCTGACTTGTAGAAATAATCCCCGTGAAGGATGGCACAAATACAACCATATATATCCTACAAATCAGTCAGATGGTACCCTTGTACTCTCAACCAAGCTCAACGAAGGTCAACACCGAAATCTGAGAGACTGCCACATCTAACAGCTATCCAGTTTTTGCCACTGTGTATCAAATCTACGCTACAAGCACCAAGAGGGCGCTGTGCACAACATCATAAATCTATCAATTCCTCCACAGCCGCTTGGGACACTATCAACAAGTCCATGACCCATCAAAACTCCTTCTCAAAGCAATGCAACCCTAAAACAACCCTTGACAATTTGAGTAACCGATCAATTCCTCTCCCGTGAACAACTGTAGAACTAGTTCGGTGTAGGTCGTCGGAACGACACTACGGAAGTTCGGCAGATGTCAACCAACAGCTGTCTCTTAACCTTGTTATTGAATGTTTACAAAATATTGATTCCAACGGTATCAACTGTATGTTGCCTTAAAAAAATTAAATGATTTGATTTGAGTCCATAAACTTACTGTGTAGGTAAGCTTAGCCTGACCTGAACGAATCGTTCCTTTAGATGATTTGACTTGATATTTTGTTTATTTTTGGAGAGAAACCTGAACATTTTACCTACTTTTCTGTTGCTCTTAGGTTGATTACGAATTTTTTCATACCTGATGTAAGTGATAATTTCATCAGATTCACTTTTCAACTATCGATTGTTGAAATAATCAATCAGAACAGTTGATCTATTTTGGATTGAAGCACTTGAACTGTCAGTTAAACTACAGACAAGATCAGAACTAATTTTGGTCAATTTTTTCCATGTCGAAGTAAGTAATAATAAGTTAAACCATCTTTCTGAAATGATACAAACATATTTCGGAAAGTTTGAGTTTTTGATACCTATATAATGATTAACAAATAAATTGATGAATAGAATCATCCTTAATGAGCGGAACAAAGTAGAACCTCTTTTTTAATTCAAATTGCAGGAGAACGAGGAAATTGGGGAACTTAATCTTCTCACAAATTCCTTCGGGCAAGGCTCTTATGCACTTCAGTTTATTTTTGTTCTTTCAATCGATTTTATGTTCAGGATACACTACCTTTAACTAACAATCTTAAATGATTTTAACTTGGAAGAAGTGCATCTACTCAACTCTGTACACAAAATTGCAACTTTGTTCAAAGGAAACTCCATTACATCCACTCACGCTCACATTTTTATTGGACTAATTAATTATGCTCCTTCTTGGATAAGGTCTTTTTGTGTTATATTTAACGGTGTCTTGATGTCAGGTAATTGAAAAGACTTATGCAAATATTGAATATTTCAAAAAGAAACATGTTTTCATTTTAATTTATCAATTAAGCATTCATTTACTTTTGAGTAACTTGTTCAAGAAAATTTTATACAATGTCTGTTCTGAGAATGAGGTGAATGTACAAATTTCACGGACTACATCCATTTGACTAAGTTTTTTTTTATTTATCAACATTAACACGATTTTATTTGCTTCACCTGTATGTATGTTTATCTGTTTGTTTGTAACTCTCAAATTCGGGATCTGTATTTGACAGAATTATCGACATTATTGCTTGATCTATTCACGGGCATATGGCGCAGTACGTAACATCCTAGATATATCAATATTATTGCTTGATCTATTCGCTTGCAGATGGCGCTGTACGTAACCTCTCTGATATAATTCGAATTCACTTTTGTTAAAAGTGAATTCGAAGTGTTTTGTGTTTTCGGCGATTTTTAGATATCGAAAGAAGTGAAAAAAATAATTTGAATGAAATTATGTTCTATGGAATCAAGTGCTCAAAAACATTCAAAATGTTGATAATGGCATACGGTGATTGTACCCTGCGTCAGAAAAATGTTCACAAGAGGTACAAGCTTATCACAGAAGGTCGAGAAGATGTGAATGACGCCCCGGCCCATGGAAATGTTGAGAAAGTGGAAAAAAGTCTTATGGAGAATCGTCAAATCACTATTAGAGAAGTTGCTGAGGATGTCGGCATATCGGTTGGCTCATGCCATACAATTTTTTCAGAAAATCCCGGCATGAATCTTGTGGCAGCTCAGTTCGATCCAAAATTAATGAATTTTGACCAATGGGGATCCATATTTGCTCGAAAGCTCCAAAGTCAGGGTTTTGCTCACTGTTTTCTTCGATTACCATGGCGAGATGCATCAGAAGTTCTTGCCACATGATAGTACGGTCAACAAGGAGAATCGTCTTGATTTTATGCGCCGCTTGTGAAAAGCAATACGAAGAAAATGTCCGGTATTGTGGAAACACAATTTTTAGCTTTCGCATAACAATAATGCACCTGCTCACTCGTCAATGATTGCTCGTAACATTTTACCCAAGAACAAGACCATAATCATGCCTTAGCCACCGTATTCCCCAGATTTGCCCCTCTGGGACTTTTTTCTGTTCCCAAGATTGGAGAGACTCATGAAAGAACGGCGTTTTGCGAATAAAAACCGAATGGTTGAGAGTACTTTATGTCGGAATCGCTTCGAGAATTGAAAACAACCCTGGCACAAGTGTATTAAATCTGAAGGGGACTACTTTGAAGAGGACAAAGTATCAGGAAGTATATCCGATATCCTAATGTATTTGAATAAATAATCTTTAAATTTCAAAACTGTCAAACTGATAACGTCAAATATTTATTTCATAAAGTGAAGCCTCTATTTGTGATACTGGTGAAGATGAAACTGTCAATGGATATGAAATAAGTACCAATATTAACGTCAAACTGACCGTTTCTTAAAATGGTGAGCTCGGTAGGGTGAGTTGTTTGATGCCACTGTCGTGCCGAATATGACAAATAACAAAATCAACATTGAAATTACGAAAACTGAATTGATTACCTATTCGAAAAATTCACTAATGTGAACATTTTTGGAAAGTTACCCATTGAATGAAGAAATCTCAATGAGCAGAGAAACCCTTGATATCTAAGAGTTTTCGTGGATAGGTGTTTGAATTTTCAATTTTCATAAGCATTTGAGTTTGTTGATTCATCAGCGGGTACTGTGGTGGAACCCAAATATCACCTACAAGCTTAGTTGCTCAACAACAAACAAGTCATGAGACCAGATGTGTTGTACGCTGGACCTGTATTCTTCAGCTTCAAAAAACTCTTCCGTTGAGACTTTACTTCTGAGGGTTGTCGTTCGTAGGGGTGTGACAGCTGGTTAACGGAAAAACAGATTTTAAACAGATTTTTTTTTAAACATTACCGATCACCACAACGCTTCTTAACAATAAATACGCAATCAACTGTTCCGAAACCCTTTTCTAATAATTTCCAAAATTCATCTCGCTGTGATAATTACCTTTACAATTCGACTTGCATCTGAAGTGAGCATTAGATACAAACCCATTTTCCCCACACGCATGTTTTATGGTCAGATTTTTTCAGACCTTCCATGGTCCATTCTATAGGTCCGCATTTTCATCAAGAATTTTATAATATTGAATAGGCTGGCATTTCATCAATATTTTTCTGTTATTTTTCACAATTTTCCATCGAAATTCAAGAGTATGAATCTCTTTTCGCAACTCCTCTCTGCCCCCCTAAAGTCAATTTATCAAATGATTATTACCATTCCTAAGCGTATGAACTTGTTTCTCTTCGATATGGAAAGTAATTATGCATCTGCGTAAAATTGTTGAATCAGAATTTTGGAATTTTTCGATACATCTCTTATTATTTGGCCTTGGTTACTCGTTCTTGAAGTTAAAATACGATGTTGTTACAATTTCACTTATTTTTTTCTTTCACTTCTTATCTTCACAAAAGGTATTCTCATTTCATCTACAGTTGCTTCCGCTTGCATGAATCTCAATACGTTGTTGGCTACTCGAGTTCCTCGATGATAATGACCCCTCGTTCCACTTTGTGAGTGCATAAAATAACAATCAGCTTTGGCAAGCTGTAATTGACAAAGATACTTCGATCCAAACTTCAAAATAGCCCACTACCACTACCTATAAAGAAACTTTCAGTTTTGATGAAATGACGGGTTCTTTTTCTAAATAGTATAAGCTTCGGAACAAAGTAAATTTCATGAGTGATTTCATTGCAACTGAGGTAATGAGTTGATTTTTTTTCATTTTTTGTGATACTTGTAATTCAATGACGCCAAATTTTTATGTTGCCAGATAATCAACGAAGAGATAAAATTTACCTGTTTTATAACTGGGCAAAGTAAATTTCATGAGTGATTTCATTGCAACTGATGTAATTTGAAATATAGTTTTCCAATTGTAAAAACTAAATTGAAAAAGAAACGAGTGGATATTTTTTTCATTTTTTGTGATACTTGAAATTCAATGACGCCAAATTTTTATGTTGCCAGATAATCAACGAAGAGATAAAATTTACCTGTTTTATAACTGGGCAAAATATATACATCTTCACTCTGATTATTGAATTCCATTCCAGAAAAGTAACTAATGATTCATCGCCCTTCTTCTGTCTTACGGTCCTCCAAAATGAATGACATCCACCAAGTTGCGCTCCCTCAATTATTCAGTAACACTGCCTGAACATGCGAAGTGAGCATTACGACCATGTTGATGTTCATTTCATATTTTTCCGATGACGAGAATATATCATTAATAGCGTGATAACTTTTTTAGTATAGAAACACAATTAAGTAGGATTTTAAGAATGAGCATCAATTTGAAGAAAAAAGCGTGATGGAATATTTTTGTCAGCTACTTTTCACCCTACCATTCAGTATTTTATTTTGGATTATTTCAACACAATTGATGCAAGTGTAATCCACTACATCAATAACTTGTGCAATATTTTGGCTATAAAATATATTATCTTCAATAAATTAAGTGTTCTGTGTCTATGTGTTGTTAGGGTCCAATTTGTATTGAATTTGTTTTCTAAATTTCTCTTTGAAAAGCACCGTTCCTTGGGGCACTCCACATGCAATCACTTGATCTGAACTGAATAAACTATTGATTTCAACTCTCTGTTTTCTGTTCGATAAGTAACTAGTGACAAGTTTCAATGGTTCACCTCTGAAACCTATATTTTCTGATACTCTTAGTAATTTGTGGTGACACTGTATCGAGGTTATATATTTCGTTTTGTACAATAGAATATAAATGAGGTTTCTATGCTGCCAGATGTTAACTCAAAAATTCCCTCACTTCCATAATTATGAACTAATTCGTCATAATTGTATGACCAAGATGATACAAAGAAAAATATGATTGGAGACAAATGTCGCAAAACAATTGCAAATTCAACACTGACAGGATGAAGAAATGCCGAACAAAAAATTCAATTCACTTTATTTTCGCCCTACAAACGTTCCGCGCCAACCAGACTAATTTCAGCGGTTGATTAATTCCTTCTTTTTTGTTTCAGTAAAACCCCAAAGTGTGAATATTTTAACGCAAGAAAAATACGTGTCTGCTGATAAAAGGTACGAAGTGGAATGCCGGACTTCGGGATCCAGGCCTGATGCCATTATCACTTGGTGGAAGGGAAATAGGCCTGTCAAGAGGCTCGCAAAAAACGTGAGTATTTATTACAATAAACGAGGATAATCTGCGAAATGTGAGGCTTGGTCTGGAAGTCATTAATTAACTGAACGTGACATTTGCACTAGAACATAAAAAAATGTATGTTTAAAATATGTTTTCCGTTAACCAGCTGTCGTACCCCTACGAATGATAACCCTCAGAAGTCGAAACTTGTGCAAGCTAAAGACTAACGAGGTCTTCCCTTCCAACGTGTGATCCCTAACACGGATAATAATCGGTTCATTCAATATCAATATCTCGATGTCGATTCATTGATCATATTTTTCGTACATATGAATAAACCGAATCAAACACCTCATCAAAGAGTATAGCCTAAGGTTTTGTCGAAAAATAGTGTTGTAGAAAATGAAGCAATTCCATTCCAGTGAAAACACTCGATAGCTACACCTCTCTTCAGAAATTGTTATCCATAAAAACTTAGTAATCATGCACCCATCTCTGTTATATCTACTTAGACTGAATTCTTTGAATAATGCATCAAAAGTAAACTGGTAACGTTTTTCAGGGAGCATCATGTTATAACAGAACGTCAATATGGCTTTATACAGAATTCAAATACTGAAAATGCTATCTAAGATCTAACAAAAGAAATAATAACTTCTCTTGACGAATCATCTAAGTGTTTAGCAATTTTTCTGAACTTGGCCAAAGCATTCGACACTGTGTCTCTTGATGCTCTGTTTGAGAAACTTGAAGGATATGATCACCAAGTGATAATCTCCAAGAGAAAGATTAAACTAAAAGAAAAAAATGAGGGTTGGAAACGTACGCATACTAAAAAGGCTTCATTCGAAGAGTTTGCGGTAAATTTAAGCTAAGAAAACTTCCTGATCCAGAGGAGTCGGCGGTTAATTTTTCTGTAGGGTTTTGAAATCGTTAATAGATCAGAATTATTGAGGGTTGTGAAAAATATAATGATTCGTTAAAAAATATTGAAGACAGTACGTCTGAATAAGTAGGTCGGTAGCCAGTCGGTTCGACGTGGGTGCTTTGTTCACTTATTCAATCGACCGCTGTGTGGGTCTGTGGTTCAAGCCGCAGGCTTGAACGATTTTCACTTGCTGTCGTTGAAAAGCAAAACAGATTACGTAATGTGAACAAGAGTTTTGTGTCGACGACGAATTTTCTAGCTGTAAGAAAAAATGTATATCAGTTCAAAACTATTTTTTTTGTTGATAGAAAATGATAGAAAAAATGTGGAAATCTGTAGAAGACAGGAAGGAAGCAATCAATTTTGAAAGAAGCATCTCTATATATAGATGTGTAGATCATGCAAAGAAGTAACTTTCAGACACGAACTTTAAAAAAACCCTTCTGAAACAGCTACCTTCCTGTAAACATTGAATTACACGAAAGAAAAATCTTTCGAAACAAATACTTTCAAATGAACGCCGAATTATACAAAAAAACTTTTCTCTACTTTGTATTCCAAACATTCGTTATGGAATCAAATCAGATATCATCCACAACACTGTCATCCTCACTGGTAGACATCGATTGCTTTTTCCAAAACGATTTTTTTTGTCGGATCGTTACGAGTGGACTGGACCAAACCACCACAGCAGACACCTATTGTGAAAAAATCAACAAACTTCACCAAAAATTGCGTCAGCAGCAGCCGACACTGGTCAACAAAAGAGGTCCGATCCTATTCCACGACAACACCCTTCCGCATGTGTCATAAAGCATCGTCTGAAAATTGAACGAATCAAGTACCAAAGTTTTGCCTCACCCACCATACTCCCCAGATCTTTCGCCAACCAACTATCACCGGTAGAACACTCGCCGATTAGAACCAGGCAGAAGCGGCCTTCGTAGACTTCATCGAATCCTGAGCACATTATTTCTATGCTGGAGAAATCAATCGATTTGTTTTACTTTAGCAAAAATTTAACTGAGATATTACAGTTTAAAGTGAACTTATACTACACATAGTTTAAAAAACTAAAAAACACGCTCTAAAAGAACATCGACCTAAAGAGTTGAAAATAATTTTTTTCAAATAAGCTTAAAACAATAACTAACGAAAAATACTAGTATTATTGTGAGAAAAGCGACAAGCCTAGATATACAAAAAATATAGCACAAAGCGCCCACACTTTTTCACAATGATACTACCAATTTTCCGTTCGTTATTGTTTTAAGCTTATTTTAGAAAAAATATTTTCAACTTTTTATTTCGATGTATCAAGGAAGTTACCTACAGCGCCGTCTGCCCGAAGATAGATCTAGCAATTATGTCGATATCTCAAAGACGTTACGTATAGGGCCATCTGCCCGCGAAAAGATCAGGCAATGATGTCGATATTCTGTCAAATACAGATCCCGAGCTTGAGAGTTATAAACAAACAAACATACATACATACAAACATACATACAAGTGAAGCTAATACATCACATTTACATCACTTATCGACTAAAAAAACAAACATTTCGGTTGTGGTCCGCCATGACAGTCGTTAGTACAATTAGGAAAATGGCAGTGTTCATTTCAGTGAAAAAAAACTTCCTAGAAATGAAAAAACATATAAAAACATATGAATTTACTACTGATGAACGAACATTTTTTTTTATTTTATGCCTTGACTGAAAATATCAATTTTCTACATAGATTTCTTCCTAATAATTATAGTTTTCACTGTGGTGATATAGTGCTATGTGACAATTCAATCAAATTTGTATTTTTATTTAAAGTAGTTCACTTCATTTCATAGAACATTTTTTCCTATTTTTCAATATTCTCCAATTCCATGAATAATATTAATATTGCAATATATCACAGGATTTCAATGGCAGACCTCTCTGAATTACCAAATACTCACTCAACTCTAGTGGTGATTTTACGGGCCCCATACAAAATGAATTTTTTTCATCCTTGCTTTCCGTAATAAATTAATGAAATATATATCAATAATTGGTAATTGTGTGCTTGCGTAATTAAATCATTCGACTCCATTATTCATTGAATACTAAAGTATTATTTAATTTTGTTTGCAACGTTTCACATAATATATAACGTATGAATAAATGGAATATTATATTAATTGAATTTCAGTTTTCATGCAATACATGATGCTATAGAAACCATTCTTTTTCACATGACCACAAATGTGAGTGCAACAAGCCGTATTTGAGAATGATTTTTTCTGTATCTGTAGAGTAGGAAGGGTGACTGGTAGGCCCACAGCATTTAGGCCACATGTGACCTTTCCAAGGAGTTGTCTTAGGTCATTGTCTATCCTGTCCTATCCAGAAAGGTGGACAGGTCACTGGGAGACATCTCCTTTATATCGGCAGGTGTAGGCCAAGACTCGCCGAACACACACTCTCTTATTGACGATACCTCCAGACACTCACATAGGACATGCCTGACGGTTCCATCTTCCTGTTCACACATCATGCACTGAGGTGTGTCCACTAGCTACATAGTATGGAGGTGTTTCCTTTAGGGATTGAGTTGGCTAGTTCCGCAATTGTCGAAGTCATCAGACCGTTGGTGCCACTGGGTTCAGCCGCTTCCTTGGCTAAAGATTCGGCAATGGGATTACTTTTACTCCTGTCGTGTCCTTTAACCCACCTCAGGATAATTTTATTATCTACCGAGGCTTTGGCTGAATCTTGGTACGTGGCACTGTAGTACTAGCCATGAGGTAACACGTTGTCTGTTCAAGGCTAATATTGCTTGTCTGCTATCGGTGCAGATTGTTATGTTATTGCCAAACATTTCTTTCCTGGTTATTCATTTTGTGGCGGTTGAGATGCCAGCCAGTTCTGTTTGAACCACGCTGGTATTTTTTCCCATTCCCCACCTAATATTTAGGCTTAGTGATCTGTAGTACACTCCACATCCTGAGCCTTCTTTGGTTTTTGAGCGGTATCTATATATGCGTAGTGCATTTGTAGTATCTGACTCTGTGTTCTGATTTATTTGTATTTTGTAGGATTTATCACACACACAAACCTGGGTTCAATTGCATCACTGGTTGCCTGCAGCAGAGTTTGCGCAGTAGGCACTTCTTGCCATAGGCTCAGCCTCAATTGACCCATTCCTACTTCGAGGTTTACACCAGCCGTGCGCAATCTGAGAATAATATTATATACATGTTTCGCTTCAATCATTTGTTATTAAGTCTCCAAGAAACTGAATTTTCCTCAGAAATGAATAATTTCATCAACTAAGTATTTGTATGAAAGAGAAAATTGTCCTTGACAATACTGTCAAAGGTATTAATTTCTCTTCTCCAACTCATTCTAGAAGATGTGACTATTTCAATGTGTGACACAATCAATCCATTTTATCCCTAAGTGTTTGTTGACTTCGTGTGGATACATATCAATTTTCGAAAACATGAAGATTCTTATGGAATGAAGTACACTGATCAGCAGAAAATTTGTTCGTCTCTTCTTTTCGGAAGACCAAGTTTCAGAAACAGTTCCAGATAAATAAACATTGGGACCAATGAATCTTTCGCCAAACCTCATCAATGCATGACATGATAAATCATATCTTTTTTTCTACAACTGGAAAAAGTAGAAAAATAGTTGATGTTTGAGTTCAATCATTGAAAACTCACACAAAAGTGAGTTGGTAATTTGAGGACGAACTAATCACGAGTTACTGTCGTTTGACAGTTTTATGTTGTGAAGCGTAAAGTTTTTATGGTTTGAAATCTATATCACACAAATAATCAGTATATATTATATAATAAAACAGAAAATGGCTCCATCTAACTTGGCTCAATCCAAAATCTAACTTAACATGTTTGAAGATCCTATGACCTTTGAAATGAAGTATCACCTCCCTTTCCACTCAAGACTTCAGGATTCGTGTTTGACCCCGAAGGACGGTTGGTGTAATTCAATTCAAATAAGCCTACAAAATGTTCATCATAAAAATACGTTTCACATGTTTTTGGATTCGTGGTGCACTATTTGGAACCTTTGTTGGAGTAATGAATATTACTGGAGTTTTA